TCATAAGTTTGTTCTATTTTTCCTCTTTTGAGGAAACTGCAAACTGTGTTCCATAGTGGCTGCACCAATTTACATTCCCATCAACAGTGTACAAGGATTCCCATTATTGTTTGTTAATTCACATTATACTTAAAAATTTTTATATAAAGTTTCAATCTACACATTTTAAAAATTGTTTCCACTTCTTTTCACACTCTTCTAATTTCTTTGACATCTTCAGCTATATTCCCTGGACAGCAGAGACATCACCCCGCTGACAAACGTCCAAAAACTCAAAGCTGTGGTTCCTCCAGTCGTCATGTACAGATGTGAGAGCCAGACCACAAAGAAGGCTGAACACTGAAGAATTGATGCCCCTAATTGTGGCATTGGAGAAGACTCTTGAGATTCCCTTGGACTTCAAGGAGAGCAAAGCAGTCAATCCTAAAAGAAATCAATCCTAAATATTCATTGGAAGGATTGCTGCTAAAGCTGAAGCTCCAACATGCCAGCCATCCAATGCAAAGGGTCAACTCACTGGAAAAAAACAATGAGTATGACCATATGGTCAAAGCTGTGCTTTTTCCAGTGGTCATGTGCTTTTTTTCCAGTGGGACGTGAGAGTTGGACTGTGGAAAATGCTGAGTGTCAAAGAATTGATGCTTTTGAATTGTGGTACTGGGGAAGACTCTTGTAAGTCCCTTGGACTGCAGGGAGATTGAACCAGTCAATCCTAAGGGAAGTCAACCCTGAATATTCATTGGAAAGACTGATGCTGAAGCTGAAGCTCCAATGCTTAGGCCACCTGCTGTGAAAAGTTGACTCACTGGAAATGACCCTGATTCTGGGAAAGATTGAGGGCAGGAGAAGAGGGCAACAGAGAATGAGATAGTTGGATGGCATCAGTGACTCAATGGACATGAGTTTGAACAAACTCCAGGAGATGGTGAAGGACAGGGAAGCCTGGTGTGCTGCAGTCTATGGGGTTGCAAAGAGTTGAACATGACTGAGTGACTGAACAACAACCATAACAAAGCCCTTTGGAAAAACAACCTGTTACCTTACTTACAGGGAGCCCAGCAGCCTTACCAGGTAAATAAGAAAGGTTACTTCCTTGAAGGCCAAGAACCTCAAAATATTTTGAGGACCCCAAGCAGAGGGGTATTCACCTGATCTATATGTATATATATATATATATATATATATATATATATATATATATACACACATATAAATAGTACAGGCAGATCTGATGACAAGTCTTTGGTATGACTTTTCTGATCTTGAGAGGCCTTTTATTAAAATTCAATCTGAGATTCCTTATGGAAGGTTCCAGCAGAGCCAACTTTAAAAAGCCTGCATGATTAGCTATGCAAATAATCAGGCAAAATTTACTGAAACCAGACTTCTTTTGCAAACAAGTTAGTCTTCATTTCATTTGGGTATATTTTGCAGAAATGAGGGTAATTTTAGAGAGAAAATGATTGTTTCTGTGAATTCTGAGTTCTAATGTTGTTAATTGTCTTTGAGGTTTTTTGTATTTACTGCCCAAGACTCACTTCATGGATATCCTTGTTATTATGTTGCATTGTGACAAAAGTTTAGTCCAATTATTAAAAAGATATACTAAGATTGTTTCTGAAGCTTATCACATGGATCTATTTTTGAATGAAGACTGGGTGACCTATGGCCTACACCTAGGAGATAATGTATAATATAAAAGAGATCATTGAAATGACTCTCTCCAACCTAGATTAAAGGACTCTTGTCAGATTCTCTTAATTAACTCTTGCACAGCCTTACTTACTTATTTACTTAAGTAGTGGCTCAGTCCTGTCTGACTCTATGTGACCCTATGGACTGTAGCCTACCAGGCTCCTCTGTTCATGTGATTTTCCAGGCAAGAGTACTGGAGTGGGTTGTCATTTCCTTCTCCAGGGGATCTTCCTGACCCAGGGGTAGAACCCAGGTCTCCCACATTGCAGGCAGACACTTTATCATCTGAGCCACCAGGGTAGCCCGTTATGCACAGCATAACTGAAGAGAATTGATTCTTGGATTCCTATTTCCCACTTAGAAAGGGACCCTGCACTGGACTTGTCAATAGAGAGGACTGCTGACCTCAAACTCACCTTAAAATAATACTCAAACAGAGGAGAAACTACTTCCACCCCAGGATAAGAAGAAGACATTAGAAGGAGATAGCTTTGCCCAGATGCTGGATCTGACCCACATGATTATTTATAGTGTTTTTTTCATTTCTTTGACTTTTGCACATAACTCAAATATTTTTCTATCAGGGGCACAAGTCCCATGTAGAGTTTAAAAATTAATCCAATTGTTGGATTTATGGTCAATTACCTACATCAAGAACTTCTTGGTGTGTTTCTCCAAGGCTCTAATTGGACAACCCTTAGAAAAATTACTCTAGAAGAAATAAGTTATATTTCTGTTTGAGCCACTTTTGATATTGCTAGATCGGAGGCCTTCACTTGGACAACCAATCATACTTGTTCTGACCATGGTCATAAATATGAATTACTTAAATCTTCCTTAATCACCCTTGTTTACTGTTGCTTTTCCTGGTAACCTCCCATAACTGACTCTTCCCACCCTCAAAATCCTATTTTGTCTTTAGCTGAGGATGATATTTAAGGTGATGGTTTTGGCCATTTTGGTGAGTTACCAGTTTTTCTGGGTCTCTTCCCAGAAATGTTATTAAACCTTGTTTGATTTTCTCCTGTTAATCTTTCCCCTGTCAATTTAATTCGTAGACAAGCCAGAAGAATGTAGATGAATAGAGGAAAATTTCTTCCTCCCTGACAGTAGCCTTCAAATCCATTCAGTACCTTGAGGGTGGGAGGGGAGGATAGCTCTTTGTCAACTCTTTTTTTTTTTAAGTAACACATAACACATGTATATAGTAAAAATTTCAAACTGGATGAAAGTTCATACAATGAATAGCCTTCCCTTGAAAGTCAATAAACAATCCCTCCCACTTTATTGCCAATCCACCAGTTTCTCCCTCAGAGGCAACCACTGTTACCAGTTTCTTTGTAGCCATTGGGACATAGTCTGAATATTCAAATACATGGATATACATTCCCTTCTATTTTTTTACAGAGATGATAGCATACCATGTAAACTGTTCTGCACCTTGTTTTTTTATATTAAAATTTATTTTCTTCCAAAATTTTGCCCTAATGAAATAAGCTGCTTCCTTTTTGAGTTAATTTTGACCATTTCTTCAGGAAACTGCCTGTTTCCTCAATATTTTCCAGTTGTTTTCAGAGTTAGAACAACTAACAAAGTTCTTCATACCCATTGGTCTGTTAATCCCACTTCCACCACTTACAAAGTTTCTAAGCAATTTGGGCCAAGTCCTGTGACTCCTGATGTAAGGTAAATGTTCACAGTGTAACAGAGGGTAATGAATGTAGCATATTAAAGAGTAATGAATCAGTTTGGAAATTTTGTTAAGATATGGTTGCAATTAAGAACATAAAACAATTACTATTTTGGGAGTGTAGCCCTATGCCACCCCCTTCCTCTTCAACTTTTTTTCCTGAATTTCTCTCTTCATTGCATATTATCTCACATTCAACTTGTACCCTATTAGTTAAATGAGGAACACTAGCATTTTTAGACTGAAATAACACCTAGGTAAGCCAAACACTGACTTTCTCAACAATTGTTGTATGGCCTGTCCTCCTCTTAAGCCAGCACCAAGGCCATCTTGAAATCAGTGGCAAAGAGGCCAAGAGATAAGGTTAGGTGTTATAGTTGTGGTTTTCAGTTGGGGAGAGATAACTAACTTTGGAGGTTGGCAAGGAAACAGAAAAGGTTATTAAAGGCCTCAGGGAAGCCAGAAGGGACTTGGTAACCTGATAACAGTGCTGAGGTCAGGACAGGGTAGGGATGGCATTGGGGGTGAGAATGGTACTGGCAGGAATGGTGCAGGAGGTATGGGAGGCTGAAGCTGGGCCTGGGGAATTGTACATAATATTCTCTTGTAACATTTTTTTAAAGTTTCATATCTACTGGACTAATTTTTAATATTATTCCCATCAGTATTTGCCCAAGTACTGAAAATGTGCTTGGTCCTACAAGGTGAATTATAAGAATATTTAAACAAAACAGAACAACACACACACCCCTCATTAGTTTGGGAATTTCATCACACTACAGCCACATTCTTTTACGTTTACTACTTGTGTGCTTTCCTAGATGGCCCCCCCAAAATAAAACTCCCTATTTCACATCATCCCCTACCCTGTTTGTTAAAAGTGGAAAACTAGTATTTACTTGCCCCAAGAGGCACTCTAGCGTATTGCTTACATCAACAATGGATGCCTGATCTCATTTTAGCCTGGGGCGAGGTGAACTGGAGTCTGAAACACTGAGAAAATCCCGAGATGAGACAGAAAAAGAGATAGGGACATGTAGGAGTATTCTTTAAAAAGTTACTTTAATATTCACCCTCTTTCAGCCTGGAACATCTTCAGTATTTGCCCCAGATCGCTTAGGGCCAACAGTAGAAGGAGCAGTTGGTAGGGAAGGCTTCATCCTTTTATTCAGCAGCTGGGAAACAGCCGCCCGGCCGCTGGGGGAGGGGCAGGGTTTTTCCCTAAAGTGCAGTTGTGGTGTGAGGGTGGGGGCGGCACCACGAGCCTCCGCCTGAGAGCCGGAAGCAGGCGCTGGAGGGGGAGTGGCGCTGAGCTGGGGGAGGAGTGAGAGAAGGAAGCAGCAGTCTTTTGGCATACGGAGCCAGCTGAAAATCAGGGTTTAATGTTAAAAAGGGAGCGTACTTAGCGACACTCTTGGCCCCGAAGAATGGAACTGAGGCGACACGAACCGCCTGTCCAACACCCAGAAGACGAGAGACCAGTGCCAGGGCCGTCAGCAGCTGTTAGGCGCTTTTTGGTGACGCAGCCGCCGCGCGCAGACTTGGTGACGGGCCACGGAATTCCACGTCTCAGGTTCCGCAAAGGCCTGTGGGAGCGACCGGTAGGAGGGCCAGGATGGCAGAAGCGGTGGAGTCTCCAGGAGACCCGGGGACAACAACGCCCAGGCCCCTGGTGAGCTTGGGATCTGCGACAAAGGGGACCGAGGGTGAGGCAAAGTGCCCCTTAAGGAAGTAGGATGACGGGCTTGTACTTGAGAGTACTGCAATTCTTCCTCCCGACAGGCCCTTCGTGTATCAGATGCCAGATCCAGTCCCAACCCTCTACCTGTTCTTTGGGCTAACTGCCCCCCCCATCCCCCTCGCCGCCGCCCCTCTCCTTCTTTACACGCCTTCTTGTGAAACTCTCATTCACTTTCCTTTCGCAGGCTCTCACCACTTGTCCTCCTCCCCTTCATTTTGTTAAATGCTGAGCTTTAGGCGATTTAAGTATTTGCATCTGCTGTCCCCTATTTTATCGAGACTTGTCACTAGTCCTCGATGGAGTAGCAGCATTCTAAGATTAATGAGAGATTGATTCTCATGGGACATTATAACTTGATTATTTATTTGCTCAATGAACCCCAGTCGTCCTGTTTTAATCCCTACCCTCCCTTGTCACAGCTCCTTGCAGTCCTCTTCATGATGATCTCTTGCGCCTGTCTCTGCAGAGGACAGAATTTCTATTGCAAGTACAAGTCCAAAGCCTGGACATGTATTTAAGAACACAGGGTTTGGAGTTAAAGTTACTTGGCCTGGAATCACCCATTCTGGCACTTGTGTGAATTTGGGCAAGTCATTTAATGGAGAGTATTTCTTCATGTGTAAAATGGAGATAAAAATACCTGCCTCAAAGAGTTTTTAGGAAGTTGAAATGACATAATTTATGTGAAGTGTCTAATAAAGTTAGTACCATAACTGAGTAGTGTCAACTCAACATTCTGCCCCCCATCCCACCTCCCAAACAACGTTTAGTCATGTCCCAAATAGTGTTTATGAGTAGGTGCTCAATAAATGGTACATTCCTTTTCTCTGTTTTAAATTGTCAACATAGTAGAGGACTGACCTGGGAGTCAGGTGAAACTGATTCTAGTTATGGTTCTGCTTACTAGCTTATTTGTTCATCTCTTCATTCTTTTGACAAATATTTATTGAGCATCCACTATGATCCAGGCACTCTTTTAGACATGGTGGATACAACAGTGAAAGAGAGTGAGTAGGTCCAAGTTCTCATGGAGTACTTGTGACCTTGAGGAAATCACTCTGAACCCGTTTTTCCTTTTGGAAAATGATAGTAAGTCACCACAGAGTCAGAGTACTAAATGAACTAATATAAGCATAGGGTATGGTATGCCATAGTTACAGGTGTTTAGATGTTTTTAGTTCCTGTTTTTCAGCTAAACTGACCCACTTCTCTTTTATGAAGCTTTCCCCCAATTAATTTTAGTGGTTCTGATTACTCATTACTCAGTATCTAATACACTTCTATTCAGCAGTGTTTGTTGAACTCCCACAAAGTGTAATACACTATGCTAGTTGCTTTAAGAAATACAAATGGCCTGTCCTTATGGTGCTTACAGTCTAATTTTAGACATAAGACAAACATACAATGCTAACATAAGACAGTATGTAAGAAAGTTACAAATAACATTTTAACATAATTTAAAAGATGCTATCATGTCTTGTTGAGGTGATGAAGCAGGCAACATGGTAGAAGTTATATTTGAGGGAGCTTCAAAGGATGGGTAAGATGTGAGCATAAGAGCTATGAATGACTACCTGATATGTGCCAGGATTGTGCTAGACATCCTTTGCATATTTTATAAACTTTATAGCAACTATTTCAGTTAGGTGGTTTTTAGACTATGTTTTACTTGTAGGTGAGGAGATGAGACTCAGAGAGATTTGATTTCCCTAGGGTGACCAGGCTGAAATTTGAACCTGGGTCTGCTTCTGAAACCAAGACTATTACTATTGATGCTACACAGACTCTCATCGGTGAAGATACAGAGGTTAGGAGATACTCATGTATTTGTAGAACAACAGAGAGGTTACTTTAGTTGAAGCACAGGGAAGTATTAGAAAAGAAGCCTTAAAAGATAAAGCTACTGAAGTAGAGAAGCAGTATAGAACAGTGGCTTTGTGTGCTCTGGGAGTCAAATTGTCTAGGTTTGGTTCTATGCTCTGTTATTTAACTAGCTGTGGGATATTGGGGAAATTACCAAAATCTCTCCATGTCTCAGTTTCCCTATCTGTAAAATGGAGATAAAGTAATACAGGGTTGTTCCGTGGATTGAATAAGTTAATACACATAAAATACTTAGTAGAGTGCCTGGCACATAATAATCATGCAATAAGTGTTATTTCCTTTTATTGATTACTATGCTGGGAGGTTTAACAGGCAATGAGTCAGTGGAAATTTTTGAGGAGGGAAGGGTTTTAAATCATGAATTTGACAGCATAACAAAGAAAAAGTTACCATGGGAAATGTGTGGAATCTAGAATACCAGTGCAGTTGTTGCAGTAGTTCTGGGATGAAGTGATGGCTACCTGGATTATAGCAGCGGTAGATGTGAACATTTGAGAAAGGCAGAATCCTCGAGGATTTGCAGTGCTAGGGAGAATGTGTCTTAGTGTTTTTCAAACTTTAACATGCTAGCAATCATCTAGGGAATCTTATTAAATTGCAGATTCTCTTTTAGTAGGTCTGAGATGAGGCCTAAGATTCTGCGTTTCTAATAAGCTCCCAGATGGTGCTGCTGCTCCCAATATCACATTTTGAAAAACAAGACTATAGATAAATGGGAGGAAAGTGATACCCTAAACAGAAATACAGAAGAGGATGAGGGCCATAAATGTTGATTCATTCACTTTTGGAAGTGTTTAGTTCCAGATATTGGCAGACCATCCAATAGATATCCAGCAGGTAGTTGGACACTAAAATCTGGACTTCAGGGCTCACAAGAGGTCAGGACTAGAGAGACTGATTTGGAATCATCTGTATAGAGTTGAGAATATAGAATCTTGGGTAATGCTTATCTATTGCCTATCTGTTTAAGGAGCAGAAAAAAGAGCCATAATAATCACTGTAGCCTAGGGTCTGGAAGGATGTTGGTCCCAGGTGGACCATGCCACTAAGCCCCTTTCCGCCTGCTTGGACCAAGTTGTTTCCTGCTTGATTTCATCCGCCCCAGCCCACTTGTTGACCTTGTTGACTTCTTTTTCTCTTCAGAATTTTGTCCAGTAGTATGACCCATCTGCTCCCAACTGCTTTCTTAAGGCTGCAGTCCCCACATTTATTGTGTTTTTGGCCCTGCCTTTACTTGCTCCCCTCATTGGCCCAAGCCAGGCAGCAAAGTGTGCACATGTGTTTATACACATTTGTATGTATGTGCACAAGCCTGCCAGCACAGAGGAAGGGGAAGGACCTGAGGTCCAAGTCACCTTTCATCCTCACCAAGGGGCTAGTCAGAGAGCAAGGTCCAGTAGCTGGGGGCCTGGTAGCACTGTCTCATATATGGGGCTGGAGAGCTTCATATCCTGGCTCAGTTCACTGAGCAATGTTACTGATTTGCTGGAGAAGAGATATTGAGGAAGGGTTGGGATGAGGGGTGAGTGGAAATCACATGGCACTTTTGTGACTACAGTCACTTCCAAAACCAAGTAACTGGAGTTAGGCCAAACTTCCCCAGTTAAGGGCCCAGTCTTCCAAAAGATTGGCCACTTCGTATACCAGCCACAGGTTTGGAGGTTCCCAGGACCACCCTCACTTCTGAACTACTGCCTACAAGTTCAAGGGTTCCTATGGTCAGGCTCTGTAATTCACTAGAATGACTCACAGAACTCAGGACAATGGTATACTTAAAATTACACTTTTATTACAGCAAAACGGTACAATCCAAACCAGCAAGAGGGGGAGATGTGTAGGTTGAGGTCTGAGATAGTTTGTAACACAAAGCTTCCTTGTCTTCTCTCTGGGGAGTAAAGGCAGGACCTTGTTACCCTCCTGATACGTTGATGTATGACAGACAGTAGGTAGAATATTGCCAACCAGGGAAGCTCACCCACATACCTAGAGTTTTTATTGAGGTTTCATTACATAGGTGTGATTGACTGGATCGTTTTTTCTTCCACTCCCAAGAGACCAGGTTTGTATCACAGTACTCAAGTGAAGCCGCTCAGTCGTGTCCAACTCTTTGTGACCCCATGGACTGAAGCCTACCAGGCTCCTCAATCCATGGAATTTTCCAGGCAAGAGTACTGGAGTGGGTTGCCATTTCCTTCTCCAGGGGATCTTCCCAACCCAGGGATCGAACCCAGGTCTCCCACATTACAGGCAGACACTTGACCATCTCAGCCACCAGGGAAGTCCTCACAGTACTCAAACTTAACCTCAATCCTCTAATCTTACATTTGGTCTTTTAGGAGTGGTTAGCCCCTATGCTGAGTCATCCATTAGCATAAAGTAAGGATCTACCAGGACTCACTTGTTCGCTAAACTGTTAAGGCTCATTATGAATAATGAAAACATTACTATCCTTTAGGAAAACCCAAGAGTTTAGAGTCTGCCTCCCAGGAACAGGAAACAAAGGTTAGCCAAATACTTTATTCTACAACAGTGACAGAACCTGAATTGACTCCCTGGGACCCTGAGCTCCTAATGTTTATTTAGTCCTTGCTGTGAGCCTGCTACTTAAGTGCTTTACTTCTATTAGTGTATTTCTTCCTCAGGACAACCCTGTGATGATGGTAACATAATGTCAATTTTACAGATGAGGAAACTGAGGCACAGAGAGGAAAAGGAACCTGCTCATTGTCACACAGGTAGTAAATGAAGAAGTTAGGATTTGAACTCTTGCAGCCTCCAGGAGAATTGCACCCTTAACCAAGTCTGTCCACATGCCACATGTTGAGCATTGATTTTGTGCTACATGACTTGCAGGTGTTACCTAATTCTTATAGCAGTGTTGTTTCCAAGGAAGGGCCATTCGGCTTCAAAGCCCATTCATTCTGCTCTGCCCTGCCTACCCTAGCTGTAGCAGGCAACAAGAAAACTCAAAACACGAAATCCTGGAGTTTGAAAGGACGGTATCATAGTAGTGAAGAGAGAATAATGACTTCAAAATGGGGTGGTTT